CACGGGAGTTTGAGAGGCGGCGGGCGGCTCTTCCCTGCTCTCATACGTGCCCTGCTCGGAAAGTAGGCGGACAAAATAGGAAGAACAGATTGGCCGTGTTGGAAATCTTTCCAACAAAAGGTAACCCAGAAAACAACCATAAATGAGTGAAACTTCCAAGGCATAACTGTCTCCATTCCTAAAGGATCCAGAGGATGGACAAATTGAACAGGGCAGTATCTTAAGCCACTTAACAGTAGGAGGGAGCCGAGAGCTATCTTCTGTCCAGTAGACTGTGGGCAGTATTGGAGTTTCTGGAGTTCCTCCTTTGCGGAAACGCAAGACTTCGTCCATCAAGAGCTTAAATTAAAGCGGGCCTAGTTACCCCAAGCCACAGGACTGTTGAAGCTTGCAGCGACCCCTAAACTTGAAGAAGCTCGATGACACAATTCATACCAGCCTGTAGCACTTAATGACAGACACCCTTCAAAATCCCTGCAAGCAACACCCAAAAGTAAAGCCCTCTTCACACACCCTGATCCGCCAACCTAAAATCGCCGGTGCCCGCAGAGCCTCCACCTTGTCCAAGATATCTAGGTCCAAGACGAGAGCCTGAGGGATGTACATTACGACTAGGATGGTCCATGGAAGGGTTTGTCATTGGTAATAATATTGCTATTAGGATTATCATGGTTGTTATAGTCGGAAGGGGCTTAAGGGGTGTAATGATGGATTCAGGGTTTGGGGTCTTAAGAGTTTGGGGTTAAGGCTTGAGGGATTAAGGTTGGGCTCTAGGTTCTGCAATTCTGCCGTTTGTGCTCTTTCTTTTCCGGGTGCACCCCCGGGTTTCAATCGAACAGCGCGACTTAACCAAAAGAAAGTCACTTTCGAAGAACCTTCTCCTGCGGGTGAAAATGGTTTCGGTGCAGAACGGGTATGCCCAGAGACCACAACAAGAACAACCCCTTAACTCAAAGAGCGTTTCTTGCTGTGGTTGGAACAACATCTCTGAGTTAACGGGATTTGAAGTCTAGTTCAAGGGCTGTGGAGTCCGCGTACAACTTTAGTTTAACCTTGTGCTTGCGGATTCCACGTAAGAGCCCATGTACAGAAACCCCGGCTCTTCACCGGGTTTCCAACCACGATCCCAGTATTTTGCAGAGTTCAAACCTTCGTTCCTGGTGGTTGTTAAGCAGAACTTAGTTCCCAAGAAGCCGCCCACCCCCAAAAAACGGATTCCTTCATCCTAGTGACAGGGGAACACCAAGCACACAAGGGAACACAGGGTGCGACCTGGGAATCTAGAAAAATGTAAAACTCCAAGAAGCCTGTGTATTCCAATCCGGCAAGGCCCTTCTACACCCCCAAGCGACTTGCAGTGAAGCGGGACATTTACGTGTTCATAAAGGTTTGATGGGTTATGCAATAGGGTGGGTCTTTGGTTGGGTTTCTTGCGGTTTAACATAGGCTTTCGCAATGTTCCATAAGACTCCGTGGGTACGGCATTACCCAAAGGCCCCCAAATAGTTCCTTTTTGGGAGTTCATATATAGAATCCTATAAGGTAATCCCAAAAAGGAACTACTTTGGGGCCTATGGGTAAGGGACCCTCGACGATCTGAGGGTTTCGATGCGGGAGTTTCCGAAAATTCGGGTACCTTATTTTGGGGGGTTCCATATAATAAGGATCCTACTATATTTAGGATACTATGGGAGTTTCCGAAATAGGGGACCCCAATATAGTACCCTAAATAGTAGGATCCCTATTATGAGGAGCCCAAAATAAGGGTCCCCTGTTTTCGGAAACTAGCATGTTTTCTTCAGGGGAGTCGGGTTGAGGGTCTCCCTCTTGCAGTCTATGTTGTTAAGGGATGCAGCTAAGATGGAAAGGCCATTCCCTAAACACCGAAGCCCTAGACTTCAGAAATGTGGAGCCCCAAAAGAAGACTTCTAAATTCTAAGGCCTGAAGAGCCCTCCACAATGCAATGAATGAACACAGAGTCAGCGTTTAGGCTTTAGGGCTTGCTTCAGGTTTAGCAAGGACCCTGAGAACACGCGAAGGCCCTTTTAAAGGCCAGAAAACGGCGCTGCTCCTCTCAGCGGTGGAGGGACTCAGATGCAGAAAGGCACCTGAGCTCTCTAAGCTCAGACGAGGCCGATTGGGGTTCAGGGCCGACATTGAAAAGTCTGGCTGTCGTTGCCATAAAAAATATGATGGAGCTTCATGTTGGTATTCTGACAAGCACGAGTAACACGTTCGATTGTTACCATCGCTCCTTGGTATATCTAGAGCTTTGGTACATATATGACTCGTCCCGCGTACATGCATGCATATATGTACAGATATGTACCGTCATGGCATATGAATAATTCTACAATCTGCTCAAACATACATATACATATACATGTACTGTATCTTCACCTATGGACCGTCAATATTATTCTTTAATGTATAGTCCGACACATGCTTCTAGCCGAAGTATGTGCTGCGAAAGATGGGGGAGAGGGGCAGCAAATCGATGCAACGAGAAAAATAAAGCTCAACCTGCAAATCTGCAATAGGGGAGCGGAGAAGACAAAAACAACAGAATGCACTAACAAAGTAGAAGACAACCAATAGACAACTAGCGTGTCTCTGCGTCGCGAAAACCAATCAAAAACCGGAAGAGCTTTACCGGGTTTAGGCTGAAGGGTTTAGGGTATAGGTATAGGGCAGTCACCAGCAGCTCTGCAAACTACAACAGCTTCTGACAAGCTTCTGCCAACCCAAGCTGCAAACCTTAACACTGACGTGCGTTCGAAAGATTGGAAAACTCATGCGGCTCATATGAACCGCAAGGGTGCAGAACCCTGTAAGGGATTCCTTTAACGGCTCGTTAGGCTATATGGGAGTCTCCGATAATCAGGGGTACCTTATTTGGGGGTCCTTATAATAAGGATCCTACTATTTAGGGTACTTTCATGGGATCCCCTATTTTCGGAAACTCCCATTTAGAGCTTTCCATCGGGCCATAGGGAGCGGCTTCGTAAATTACGCTGCAGGCGGGGTGGTAAGTATCGCAGGTTGGGGGAAGGGGGTGTCCAAACAGAGACGAGTACTTGCATCATCCCTGAAAATACCACTACAGGGGGCATACGTGACATGTAACGGTTTGTGGCTTCGAGTTTATGGAGGTTTTGCATGTTGCGGAAGCTTCAAACAACTTTTGTTTAGGGCAACCATGCTCTCCTTCAGAGGTATTTTGGGCTCGCAGAAGAACTTGTGCGAACGCGTGGGGGAATCGCAAACGGGTGATACGATGTAGGCACAGTACTCTGAGTTTTACCTGCTTCAAGATTTTGGACGCAGGGTGTGGACTCCCGGCTTATTACAGGGCGTAATGTTTAGGAATCTCGGATTCAACTCAGAACCCCAGAGAACATGCTGGAGCCAAGATGCCGCACAAGGACAGCAGGAACCTCCCGCCACATATGTGGCCATAACACGAAAACATAAGATTAACAAGCAACCTGTTGGCTCCTCACTACACGCTGCCGCGCTGTGAGCTGCGAGCCATAACGGAAGACGATTATGTACATTTTGCGAAGGCAAGACTGTGCTCTGGAGATCCCAGTGAACGAATCCATAACCCCAACGAGCTAAAACACATAAAGAGCACCCAAAAGTGGTATAATGTCATGTATCAAAACCTCCATAATCCCGAAGCCCTAACCACTCCGAGAATTCGGTCTTCATGGTATTTTGATCCGATACCAGGCCTCGAACAGACCGAAAGTTCTATGATGCGATGGCCTGAACACTTAGCGTAAGGGGCCTGAACAACATTGAAGAAAGTATATTATACATGTACAACAGAACACAACGTACTAGTAGACTGCAGACGCAACAATATTGTCAATGATGCTTCGGGGTACACTAATACATAGTAACACAACACAGGGACGACAAGGCGATGTTCTTGACGAACTGTTCACACTTCTCTGCTTACTGACCGAAACTGCTAGACTTGATATCACCCTGGCCTCCCAATACCAGGTTATAATATTGACCCAAGCCAGCTTGAAGAGTGTGCCTGCTGAACGTAGCAAAGCATCACCAACCGACCTCAACCTTCCGGGAGCGGCGCTGCAATTAAGCTCGAGACATTGCAGATGCACGCCTGCTGTGAAAATACGAAAGACTCACACCCCAAACCCAGCTTCTGGCTGGTTACATCCCCAAAGCCTACCGCCACAGAGTGACATGTTGCAGCTTAGGGTTTAGGTTTGTTACCAATGATCATTCTCAAAAGGAGCACTGTCTGTATCTACTGTAACTCTATGTCTGCATCTCGAACCGTATCTATATTCATACCTGTAACTTTACAGGCACCTGAAAGCATATACACATCGGTATATGTACATGCGACTGTCTATGCCCATGTATATGTAAATATATCGAATATGTGTATATATATATACATATGTGCATAACCGTACTTTTTACTGGTCGACGCATATATACATGTGTGTAAACGTGTACACATACATGTACATATACATCTACACAGATGTGCATGCATGCAACTATAAAGAAACAAATACGTGCGTGAGCAAATAGAGACATATGATTATGTGTATATGCATGTCTACATGTACCTGTATGTGTGTACCTTTGTGGACACATGCCATGTCATGTCGTGTCACGTACGTATGTATGTGTGTATGTATGTTTGCATGTTTCAATGTCTGTATGCATGTATGCATGTATGTATATACATATCTGTGGGTGTGTGAAGAGTCACCAAACTCCATAGGCTGCCCTGCTTCGCATGCCCGGAATCCCTTCATCAACGGAGTGGAAGCTGCACGAAATCATGCACATGACATACTAGTAATAACGACATCCTGACGTAAACCTATTTCAATTTAGCACAACATCTTTAAAGGCAGGGTCTTTAAGACCTGAAACGCAGACCCCATGAGAGCCCCATCGAAAATCCTTGTCGCTTCTTTTTGTGGGCATCGAACGCTTCGAAGCCTCACTCTTCCGGAGGTGGCACCTTCCGTCTTGCCCCTACCCAGAGGCCCCAAAGTAGTTCCTTTTTGGGATTACCTAATTATAACAGGATTCTAAATATGAAGCCCAAAGAGGAACTACTATGGAGCCTATGGGTAAACCCTAAACCCGAGAGTCTGGGCTTGTCGTTTATTCGCTCCTTTCAGGAGTTCTTGGGGTTGTCAGGCTTTGGTTCAGGATTCCTTGCATCTTAGGGGTCTACGCACAACTGGTGTTCTATTGCCAGGGTTTTGATGTAGGAATTTAAGGGCTTAGGTCTAGGGTCCAGGGTTTTGAAGTTTGGGGCTTAGGGCCTGGGATTTAGAGATGATTTAGGGCTTCCATGCTTTCGTATACCCTTCGTCAGGCTTCGTAGGGTTCTGAGAGGGCAGCACATCATGGAACTTCGGGCTTCGCGTTTAAACTTTGTCAGTGAAAGCTCGAAACTTTCATTCGTCATTCTAAACCTTTAAGGTCCAAAAACCAAGCTACCCGACCCAGAAAAAAGGCCCACGACGAATCGTGTGAAGAAAGAGCTACTTTCCAGGTCCTTTGGATCTCCGAACTTGCAAGGCCCCTTCTTGGCTCAGGGCCCTCCATTCCAGGTCGAAAGTAAGAGTTGTCTACCCGGCCCCGACCCTAAAACCACAGACCCCCTAAACCCTGAACCCCAAAACAAGATCCGAAGCCCTAAATAACAACTGATCGGAGCTCCTGCTTCGGCTTCTCGGTGCCCTCTGGCGTGCTTTCGGCACGCATCTTGGCCAGCTGCTCCTCTGCGCCGGGCTCTGGCATGCGTTCACGCGAGGGGTGCATGTGCCCACACCGTGCGTTGTCGGAAATCTTCGGGCTGATAGAGGGCCCCTGAAGTAATGATGATGATGATGATGATGCAGATGGTGTAAGTGTACGTACACTTTTGTGCCGTAATTAGCTACTGTATAGGAAGCCGTTTCAGGTTCAAGTATAGACTTCATAGGCACGACCCTTAGGATAATGGCTGTCAGGTCTGCGGACTTGGAGGGTTTTGGGTTTTGAATCTTCATAGAATACTCATCTCTCCCCTGTTGTATCCGAAGCCCCGAAGTAATGCAGACGCCCTATGTGCAAAGTCCTCTCATTCGGTGTGAATATCAACTTCAAGCTGAAAGGACATGATCCGACCATCATCATAGGGAACATGATGTAAAACCTATATCACCATACAGACACCCCAGCTGTACACCTTACCCCTGCCCTATGTACACTCGCCAGGACGTTTAAATAATCTTAGCTGGAATATTGGCGTGTAAACCTGCACACCCCGAAGATCCAAACGGCAAAACTCCAAACTCCATCAACCTCGAACCCGTCCACTCAACAAACCCCCCAAAAACAATCCCTGCAACTGACACCTAACGCCGTAATTTGAGAGTGGAGGAATCAGGGTCTCAATTTGACCCTGGCTCTGTAGTTTATTGCTGTTGTTTGGGAGGGTGCTCTGTTTTGCTCTTAATCGGATAACTACCCCGCTACCCAAAACACACGAGTTGGAGGGTCTTGTGAGGGCGTAAGAGAACCGAGCACCAACCCCTCCCAGGCCGTAAAACCCCGCACTCAAGTACCTCGAAGGGCATAAAACGAAGCTGCTCGGCCCTGTTGTTTCCAAAACGGAGCTTAGCGCATATGGGGTATAGGGTTTTAGAGTATTGTTAACATTATCCCGTTCATGGTCCCTTTTAATGCTTCACGGGCTGTCAAGTTTAGGAAGTTATCGAGTTCAGGGTTCAAGCAACCTTCGACCCCACGGTGCCGAAAATCCCAAACTGACCCCGACAAAGTTACACAGCTAGACATATCCGTTAGGGCCATGAGGGTTTGGGGTTTAGTTTCGGTACAATCTTCTGTTAGGGCTGCTAGATCATGTGGGCTCGATAAGCCATCAACCAGGAGGCTCGGCCTCATGAACTTTGCGGCGTTCGTCCAGCCAAGATTTGACATTGGCGACGGCTTCCTGATAGGATATGCCAGTGTCGCAGAAAGGTAGTGTAAGGTTTTGTAAGGCTTTGGCAGCTACAACAGGCAACACCGACAATAAGAGTGAAGGTGACGAAAGTCAGGCACAGTTGCACGGAATTGATTGCCTTCGTTGTTATTGTCATGTCAAGGTGGCTTCACAGGCAATGGCGGAGCAGGTGTAACTGAGTCTGCTCCCAATGTTCGCTACTTGTCAAGATTGTCGGCGCTGTTAGGGCCGGTGGGGGAGCCTGGGGCTGCTTGTTTGCCTTCTCCGGCATCGTTAACACATGCTCCCAGTTTTATTCGCGCAAGAGGAGATGAACAGTTGCAAACCCCCAGTCCCAAGTCCATCATCATCGTTGCAATCCTCATCACTTCCGTCACCATTGCCATCATCATCGCCACGAACATTGCCACCAACCAGCGTGGTGATGATGCCCCCGCCTCAGGCTTGTTCTTGAAGAACATGAAATAGCCTGCTTTGGGAGTGATTGTTTTGGGTATTGAGGAATTTCTGCTTCGAGGAATCGCACTCACCGTTTTCTCGTTTTGGGTGTCTAGTACGTTGAGAAGGCAACACTGGCATACTAGAGGCTGGTACTGCTCGGAGCCCATAAACATAAAGAACAGCTTTCGTATGGCCTCTTGATACAACCAGAGAATATCAAGAAGTGAATTCCGAAGAACAGCGACACACTAAATTATAAAACCATCCAATATCTTCAGAATTACTCCCAAATGCCGGTTATAACCGCTCCAAGGTAGAATAGCTGACCAAAGGGAACAAACAATCGAGAAGAGACAAGTACATCCTAGATAAATCATTTAAGTAGCTTGACCCCAATGACCCTGCAAGGCAGCAGATGCCAAGGTGCTGTACCTTAACCCACAAATTTTCGTCCAAGGGCTCGAACAAGCCCTGATCACTACCAGTACCAAACGAGCTGAGGCCAAAACTCTGAAATCCTGGTTTTCTTTCCGACGGAGCTGGACTCTGCCAGGAAGACTCAAAACAACGGAAACCCTGAACCATACGTGGCACGTGGAAGCCTATTGGCCAAACACTGACCTCTCAGGGATGAGGCTTCAGGTCTTAGGATTCTTACCGCATCTTCTCGGGGATATGCGGAAGGAACCGAACCTTGCAGCTCCGCCATGCTCAAGCCTTCGTCCTGGTCGCTCTCATTCGACTTGAGGGCTCTTATCGGGGAATCTGTTTTGTGGGTGGAGGGTTAGACCAGAGCTGTTGTTTGTTCCTTTGTTTATGGTTCTTCTCTTGTGCAAGACCTTTTCTTCTTGTGCTTAGAAGGCCCCTTGTCTGTCAAGGATTACATAGGGCTAAGGGCTTCAGGGCTGACGGCGAGAGGGATACAAGGGTTTGGGGACGTGCCTCCGGAAAAAGGCAGGGTCTATGTTCCAGGTGGTTGCGAGAAGGGCGCTGGCTGAGGGCGGTTTAAGCTGCGGCTGAGCTTGGTGATCAAGGGCCTGGGGCAAAGTGACAGCTGAAACTTCTTTATGTCTGAATCAATATCTCTTCATCTGGCCTTTGCTGGGTAGCGGAATTGGGTGCTGCAAGGATGAACGAGGATATGGTCAGATCTTGTAAAGTCATAGCATGACCCTCCACGCCAAGCATTCATGTGGCATTTCTGCCGGAGCCTGTGATCTGAAGCTTGTTGCTTCCGGTTGAAACCAGCTCCTACTACTGGGGAACCGACCTAAAGGTTCAGAGGACAACGTGTGCAAAGTGATAAGCCCTTTGAATGCGGCTACAAGCAGCTGAAACTCCAACCATCAACACGCCCTTGCCTTGTTTGTTCAGTCCGACCCTCGTAAATCGCCAGCCCAGAATCCTCAATCCTCACGGCTCAACCCTGAGGGAGATACCCTCTACCCTCATCTGCAATTTTGTTGCCAGGGGGTCTCTGGATATTCCTTGAACCATACAGTAAGAAGCCCTGGGCGGTTTAAGGTATCATGTACGCCCAAACCCGAAGTCCTAACCCCCCCCCGCCCCCCCAAACACTAATTCCTGAACCCCCAAACCCTGAAATTCCACACTCCCAAGGCGAAACCCTTCATCCAAAACCCAAACCTTAGGCCCGAAACCTGAAAACCTAAATCCCAATCTTTTAATTGGAAATGCTGGCTTGGCGTGGCAGGCTCCTGGCAGACCGTGGCAAAAGTCTCCGACAAGTCCTGATGCTTCAGGTTTTCATGGGGCTCGGACCTGGGTCTAGTCTTGTGGCTTTCGTTTGCTGCTTCCTTTTGTGCTTTGATGAAGTGAGCCAAACCATCCGAACAACATAGAAGCCCCGATAGTCAGTGACATCATATAGTCTCATATGAGTATGGTAGACTATCTCCACAAGCCCCGTTCTTGTTATTCAGGGCCCCTACATGGGACCCTCAAGACCCCATCGAGGCCGGAACCCAATCAGCTTTCCCACATTACGAGCTTGCGGGTCTTCCCAAACACAGACCCAGGGTTTACAATTGAGGGTTTCGGGAATATGGTAGCATCTATAGGATTCAGGGTTTATGGTTTAGGGAATATGAACTGCAAAAGGATCTGTGCTTCAAGGTTTTAGGCTTCAGGACAGCTTGTGCCAGCATTGTGCTTGCAAGCGCAAGAAAAGCTCCTGAACCGCTATTTCGAAGTGAAGGGCACGTAAAACCAGCGTACAAAAGTTCAACTGCACGCAGTGAAAGAACCTCAGCAGCCGCAACTCTGTCAAAAGCCCGTACATGTACTAGACAACCCAACAAACATGTCTTATCGAAGACTTTGGATCTTAGCCTACAGGCCTATAAACCCTAAACCCGATGCCTAGACCCCCAAGGTCACCGTAGGGCAGAGTTGAGACACCGATTCGCGCCCCAGCCTCTTGTCCAGGGAAGAAGCGTATGTACATCCGCTTCAGCTGTGCCCTCGGCAGCGGGTTTTGGTTCGGCCGAAACTGGTGACACAAAGCCCGGAACTTGACACCCCCTAAACTCTAAACCTTAAACCCTCAACCCTTAAATGAGAATCCTGGAACCCCGTCCTCAATCCCCTTGACCCTCGAACCCCTAAACTGCTAAACTCTAGCCCATGAAATCTACGGGCGGGACCCGGGAGTACAAAACCTGTACTACCCCTCTGGCGGCAAGATATTCCGATACCCGCAAAGTTTTGCGAGATTGAATGAGCCGCTCTGCAAGCGCTTTATATCTAGAGTCTGGAGGTGTATTTCAGAGTTGAGATAGACACCTTCCTTGCACTCTTGAGCGATGGGAGTGTGGAAGTAGCACGAGTGCTGAACAGGCAAGGACAGTTTAGCATCATTGGCCTAGTTGCATGACCTATAAGCGGGAGACCCGCAACCAACCTCTAAAAATGCCTCCCACCCCCTAAGCGAACAAAACCTAACACGGTTAGTGAGTTAGTGGTTCAACCCCTACTCGGGACTGCATGCACCGGGATAGTTGGGGCCCATGCAGTCCTGCGAAACCATATTTGTGACACGCCCCAAACCGGCCAGCTTGGCCCCTGCAGCCTTCGCCCCTCCTTCAGATTCTACAAGACTATTTTGGCGGGTTCTTTATAATAGCTATAGTAGAATTATTTCCAAAACCCTTTTCCAATTATTGAGGCCCCTCAAAGATTCTGATGCCTGGGGAGATGCTCTAAAGGCCTTGGAAAGCACCTCTAAACGCCGAACCAACTCCTCCCACCCCCGTCCCCCCCTTCCCATCACGAGCTCCGAGCCGGGACGCTAGACCAACCTTAGCATTTCACGGCTTTAGCCGGGTATCTTTTAAGCAGCAGACGAGGATATTTTTAAAGGAGACGGGAGTTTGAGCTGAGGGCTCTTCTTGACTTCTTAAAGCCCTCATGTTGAGTTAAGTTGCTTTAGTGTGGTCCCGTGTTGCCAGGGAGGGAAGAAGGATGTCTGTGAAAATGGAGGCTTCTTAACATTCAAGCTGCCACATTCTGGGTCCTTAAATTGCACGCTCTAAGCCGTAGTCACCTGACTTATGTTCTCAATCTCCCGAATTCGGGGTCGTGTCCGCCCTAAGCCGTAGTCACCTGACTTATGTTCTCAATCTCCCGAATTCGGGGTCGTGTCCGCCCTAAGCCGTAGTCACCTGACTTATGTTCTCAATCTCCCGAATTCGGGGTCGTGTCCGCCCTAAGCCGTAGTCACCTGACTTATGTTCTCAATCTCCCGAATTCGGGGTCGTGTCCGCCCTAAGCCGTAGTCACCTGACTTATGTTCTCAATCTCCCGAATTCGGGGTCGTGTCCGCCCTAAGCCGTAGTCACCTGACTTATGTTCTCAATCTCCCGAATTCGGGGTCGTGTCCGCCCTAAGCCGTAGTCACCTGACTTATGTTCTCAATCTCCCGAATTCGGGGTCGTGTTCGCCCTAAGCCGTAGTCACCTGACTTATGTTCTCAATCTCCCGAATTCGGGGTCGTGTCCGCCCTAAGCCGTAGTCACCTGACTTATGTTCTCAATCTCCCGAATTCGGGGTCGTGTCCGCCCTAAGCCGTAGTCACCTGACTTATGTTCTCAATCTCCCGAATTCGGGGTCGTGTCCGCCCTAAGCCGTAGTCACCTGACTTATGTTCTCAATCTCCCGAATTCGGGGTCGCGTCCGCCCTAAGCCGTAGTCACCTGACTTATGTTCTCAATCTCCCGAATTCGGGGTCGTGTCCGCCCTAAGCCGTAGTCACCTGACTTATGTTCTCAAACTCCCGAATTCGGGGTTGTGTCCCGCTGTTCCGGGAGTGTCTGCTTCCGGGGCCAAACAACATAAAACAGAGAACATGACCCCACCATCAATGTGTTCTGGAATCTTGCAGGTGTCGTCGGGACTTGTAGGGCTTGTCTGGGTCTTTGTAAGGATCCGTGAGGGGATAACAAACACGCAGCCCTCCCAAGCAATTCCCTAACAAGGACATGGGTCAAGACGAGGTCGTGTTCAAGGGCTCTCGGCACATACTGTCGCTGGGGCGTTGCTCCGAATGACGCTCTACAGACTCTCATGAGGATGCAGTGCTTTCTTTCAGCCACTAAAAGCCAACTCTTTCGTGGACACCTCCAAGTATCCTCTATCACGAAGCCCTTTATAAAGTAGCTAGAACGACCCAAAATCAACAACTGCAGTACAAACCAGTAGAAGCCTTCACATGAACCAACAATGCCAGAGTGCATAGATGCTGAGGTCCACCCTGCCGGGTCTCACCTGGCTGACATCGTCTCAGTCTTGGCAATGCGTCATTATCCAAAAGACCGACGCGAACAGAACCAAGTAGTTTGCATATGCAATGTGTGCATACTTTTGGAGAACCTTCGGAAGGTGTGCAAACAATGATCTTGTCGGACCACGCGATACACTTGCCTGCTCCCTGCAGAGTCAGCTGTTTTGATTTGGAGCAGCCACTGTAGAAATCGCCGAACCCCGATAATCATCTGGCTGAGGGTTCGGGCGTTGCTCTCACTCTCTCGGATTCTCTGACCTAAATATTCGACAATTGGGAGTTTCCGAAAATAGGGGACCCTAATATAGTACCCTAAATAGTAGGTTGCTTATTATAAGGACCCCCATAATAAGGTACCCCTAATTTTCGGAAACTCCCAATTGGCTCTCAACCTCATGTCCGAAGCTGAGGCAGCGGCTGCTTAGGGCTACTTACCGTATTGCTCTCATGGCGACACTGTTTTCTCGCAGTCCAGGACATGTCGGGCCTGACACGGTGTAGCCGTGAGTTTCACAGAAGTACTTTTGCCCTTGATTGGGAATATTCAACCAGCATAACCGCCAGATCTGAAAACTCTTAACCCGAAAACCCCTAAACCCCAAAACCCGTAAACGAAGTGAATCCTGTAAGCCCCAAAGCACGAAGCACGAAAACGACGGCCGGTCCCACCAGAGCCCGCGGCAGCGCGTGGTAGTGGTTCGTGGTCATGAAGACCAATCTCTCCTACTGGGCTCTTACTAAGGAGTTTGATTTGAGTTACCGTAAGATGGAAGGCCTGTCAAGGATTTACTGTACAGGTCGTATTATGGTGACATAAAGTAAGGCAATAGTCAACAAAAATCCCAGTTCTTGATCTTTGGATTCAGGATTCCGCATTCCTAAATGGGTTCTGTAAGGGGTGAGGGTTGTAGGCTTATAGAGGTGTTAGAACTCACAGTGTAGCGTCGATTTGCGTTGATGGGGAGCGCTTGGAAATTTGGTTCAAGCCACATCTGACACAGAGAGATTAGGAAGTGAGTGAGCCTTTCGGCTTGAAGCGTAGGCTGGTCCTACGGTTGACTATACGGGCCGGTCTCATTAGCCGTAGCAGTCCCGAAGGTTTCCCATATTCGTATCGGAAGGCATATCCCAAAAGCCTATACTGAGTTCGGAAGACCTCCCTGTAATGTGTGAGGCGGCTCTCAAGGCAAAGACACGACAAGAAGAGTTAGGGCATAGGCAGTCGTAGATAGCGATGCACGAATCGTTCGAATTGAAGGACCACAGGCCTTTGTAAAGGAATAAGGTGTTGCTTCGCGGGAATCCTCATATATGGGAGATTCCGAAAATTAGGGGTACCTTATTCTGGGGTCCTTATAATAAGGAGCCCACAATTATGGTACTATATTAGGGTCCCCTATATTCGGAAACTCCCATATGGGATACCAGCAACCAAAGTTATGCACTTGCAGCCCGAAAGGCCCTCGGCACATCCCAATCACCCTTCAACTAGACTAGACACGGAACCCAAAGGTTTACACAATTGTTCGACGCCATCTTCAGAGCCAAGAACACTGCAAAGACGCCACAACAGCTTACGGCAATAACTAGACATGGAACCCAAAGGTTTTTTTAGCTCTTCAGAACCACTTTAGAAAGCCCAAAACAATACAAGACGCACACACACACACACACAATTTATTATAGACTTCACACCTTACGGCTAAGGCCGGCATCTCACTACTTCCCCTTCCTCCGTGGCGATGACTCCGTCCAGAGCATTGAGGAGCCCGCTAAATGTCACCCGAGTGACCTCACGCCAACCCAGACACCAGGAGGATCTAAGCAGGTAGTACAGACGCCTTAAGCTTCATAACCAGATTTTGGCTGTGGGATACACATGTATATATGTAGGTAAGAGAAACCTTTATGTATAATGTGGCGTTCCTGTTTGGGGTATTTACCTAAACTATCTAAACCCCTCCCGGTTTAGATAGTTTAGATAGTTTGGGCCTTCCCCCGTGCCACCCAAACTATCTAAACTATCTAAACCCCTCCCGGTTTAGATAGTTTAGATAGTTTAGATATTTTGGATAGTTTAGATAGTTTAGATAGTTTGGGGGTCTCCCGTTGGTCTGGAGAGAGAGGGGTTTAGTTTAGATAGTTTAGATAGTTTGGGCCTTCCCCCGTGCCACCCAAACTATCTAAACTATCTAAACCGGGAGGGGTTTAGACCAGGGCAGCGGGAGCCCCCAAACTATCTAAACTATCCAAACTATCTAAACTATCTAAACCCCTCCCGGTTTAGATAGTTTAGATAGTTTAGATTGCTTAGATAGTTTGGGCCTTCCCCCGTGACACCCAAACTATCTAAACTATCTAAACCCCTCCCGGTTTAGATAGTTTAGATAGTTTGGATAGTTTAGATAGTTTAGATAGTTTGGGGGTCTCCCGTTGGTCTGGAGAGAGAGGGGTTTAGATAGTTTAGATAGTTTGGGCCTTCCGCCGTGCCACCCAAACTATCTAAACTATCTAAACACCTCCCGGTTTAGATAGTTTAGATAGTTTAGATAGTTTGGGGGTCTCCCGTTGGTCTGGAGAGAGAGGGGTTTAGATAGTTTGGATAGTTTAGATAGTTTGGGCCTTCCCCCGTGCCACCCAAACTATCTAAACTATCTAAACCGGAAGGGGTGTAGACCAGGGCAGCGGGAGCCCCCAAACTATCTAAACTATCTAAACTATCCAAACTATCTGAACTATCTAAACCCCTCCCGGTTTAGATAGTTTAGATAGTTTGGGCCTTCCCCCGTGCCACCCAAACTATCTAAACTATCTAAACCCCTCCCGGTTTAGATAGTTTAGATAGTTTGGATAGTTTAGATAGTTTAGATAGTTTGGGGGGCTCCCGTTGGTCTGGAGAGAGAGGGGTTTAGATAGTTTAGATAGTTTAGATAGTTTGGGCCTTCCCCCGTGCCACCCAAACTATCTAAACTATCTAAACC